GTACCTGCAGTCCATCATCCAATCATTATTGGAAATTTCTGCCCTTCCTTTTTGCCACTGAGGAGATTGACAAGAATGGCCATCTCTTGCCTAACATCACTCTGGGTTACAATGTGTATCAAATTTTCTTCAAGGTAGAAATGACTTCAGATCCGTTGCTGGACCTGCTTTCAGATGGGGAGGCCAATGTTCCCAACTATAGGTGTGGGCGGCAGAAAAACACAGTGGCTGTTCTGGAAGGGGCTGAAACTGGCATTTCCATCCAGATTTCAGCCATGCTCAGTACCTACAAAATTCCTCAGGTATGTCTTACTTGAATCAAACATCCTCTGCTGTAAATGACAAGCAGAGTTTTATTAAGGAAATTGGAGGAATTACATTTTGCTTGTTACATTTAAAAGAACATCATCTTCAATTCAATCTTTAATCAAGGAGAGAATCAACCTAGGGCTAAGGAGAAATTTCCTGACAGTTAGAACAATTAATCAGTGGAACGACTTGCCTCCAGAAGTTGTGGAACACTGGAACAAAGATGATTAGGGGACTGGAGGCTAAAGCATATAAGGAAAGGCTGCTGGAATTGGGTATGTCTAGTTTAATGAAGAGAAGGACGAGGGGGACATGATAGCAGTGTTCCAATATCTCAGGGGCTTCCACAAAGAAGAGGGAGTCAAGCTATTTTCCAAGGCGCCTGAAGGCAGGATAAGAAGCAACAGATGGAAACTAATCAAGGAGAGAAGCAACCTAGAACTAAGGAGAAAGTTCCTGACGGTTAGAACAATTCACCAGTGGAACAATCTGCCTCCAGAAGTGGTGAATGCTCCAACACTGGAAGTTTTTAAGAAGAGAGTGGACAGCCATCTGTCCGAAATGGTGTAGGGTTTCCTGCCTGAGCAGGGGGTTGGACTAGATGACCTCCAAGGTCCCTTCCAACTTTATTATTATTATTATTATTATTATTATTATTATTAAGAGATTGGACAACCATTTTTCTGAAATGATATAGAGTTTCCCGCCTGAGCAGGAGGTTAGACTAGAAGACCTCCAAGGTCCCTTCCAACTCTGTTATTCTGTTAATTCTTTTCAGATCAGTTACAGTTTGGCTTCCCAGATTTTGAGGGATAAAACTCAGTTTCCTTTCTTCTACCCGATGCTCCCTGCTGAGGGAGTCCAGTACCCAGGGATGGTCAAGCTGCTCCTCTATTTCAAGTGGACCATGGTTGGTCTTGTTGCTCCAGAAACTGACCAGGGAGAAAGGTTCATGAGGATGTTGTCTTCTTTGATGTTAAGGAATGGCATTTGTGCAGTGATCTATCAAACCTTTCCACTGAATCTGTATTGGCTAGTTTTAAGACTTTACAAATATTATAAGTGGAGAGAAGTCAATGTCGCTGTTTATGGTTCGGAGATGATTTCATTTCCGTTGGGAATTACGATTCTACAATCAATACTTCAACATTTTCAGGGACCTATTGTAGAGAAAGTCTGGATCACCACAGCACACTGGGATCTCAGTCTTGAGCTAATGTTTACCAGCGCTTCCTTTAAATACATTGGTGCCATTTTTTCCTTCCTAATACAGAAAAGGAAATGGGCAAACTATGATGCTTTTAGTCTCTTCGTTCGCTCAGTATTTCACTTTTCAAAGAAAACCTTTATATGTTCCTCCACTAAGGATGCCTTTTCGGTGAAAGTCTGGAGACGGTGCAGACAGAGAGAAGAACTGGTGGCTGTGAGGGAAGAGGAGATTGATCGGATCCTGGCTATGGACAGTTACCTGACTTACAGCACCATCTGGGCTGTGGGAAGGGCCTTACATTCAGCTCATATCTCCACATTCAAGAGATCAGTGAGGAACAGAGGCATGAAGCTAGAAGCCCCAAGGCTGACGGCTTGGCAGGTATTTCTTTCCCGTCAGGCATATACAGCATCTTCTGCAAATGGGAATCAGTTTTCTAAGTGGATGTCTTGGTTACATATTCTGAAAAATTAAATTATCCTGAAACTCAGATCCAACTTAATTGCAATCTATCTTTCCCATCTATTTCTTTTCTGTTTCCCCTAATCCTTGTTTTTGCAATAATTTTTTCACCTTCCAGCTCATGTGTCCAAATAAAAATCTTATGTTTATTGATATACTCCTAACCAAGTTTGGAACTGAAAATAGAATCTGGTTTTTTTGAAAGAGAGAGAGAGAAATGTTCTGATCTCTCCCAATATAGACCAAAAGGTTCTACTCCCAGTTTAGCTATGAAAGTCGGCTTGGTGATCTTGGTCTAGTCCAGTGGTAGTCAATCTGGTCCCTACCGCCCACTAGTGGGCGTTCCAGCTTTCATGGTGGGCGGTAGGGGTTTTGTCCGATATTGAAGCACTTTCCTTTTTTTTAATTTAATTGACTTTTTAAAAAATTTTCATAGCATTATTTAAAAACATTTTCATTAGGTTTTCATAAAATTCCCCATGACAATTTAAATTTCTGAAAATATACTATTTGTATCGCCCCGTGCATAAGTTTAGTTCACGTTACGTAAGTGAAATTAGATGGTGCTATAGTGCGACCGCAAACAAAAGAGCCTCATCTCAGAATAGCTCGCACATCTCGCCCCACACCACCCAGCTGTAACAGACAAGCAGGGCTGGTAGCTGCCCCCCCAACCTAATCCACGATGCACGAGAGGCATGCGCAGATGACGATACATGGCGCAGGTTCTTTTGTTTGCGGTCGCACTGGTCAGTACACAGTTAGATTTGTGAGAGTGAGCACATGCCTACAGCTTCAAACAAAATATTGTGAGTCCATGTCTCAAAAAAAGAAATACGCTCGTGGCTATTTGCCAGAGTATCTGAAGATGGGTTTCATAGAATCTGTTGTAAATAAACAACATCCAATGTGTTTATTGTGTCATAAAACATTATCCAATGAGGCAATGAAGCCAAGTCGATTGCAAGAACATCTTTCTACAAAGCATCCAAATGATAAGGACAAGCCCATTGAATATTTTCAGAAAATATATAAAAAATTTCAAAATCGTTCAACAATCGTTGCATCATTTAAGAAACAACATGCAGCGAACGAAGATGGATTAATTGCCGCTTATCGCATTTCACAATTAATTGCAAAAAGTGGTAAAAGCTATAATATTGGAGAAACTGTAATAATACCCTCTATAAAAGAATTTATCTCAACAGTAATGCATCAGGATATACCTGAAATTTTAAAAACGTTGCCCCTAAGCGATAGCACAGTAAAGCGACAAATTGAAGAAATAGCAGTTAATGTTGAAAAAAACTGATAAGTATTCTCCAAAACTCTTCATTTTTCATGCAATTGGACGAGTCTACCATTACAGATAATAATACTTTATTGATGGCATATGTACGCTATTTTGATGAAAACAATACATTACGAGAAGAAATGCTATTTGCAATAAATCTCATTACAGATACAAGAGGATTATCTATATTTAATACTGTGAAATCATACTTTACAAAAAATAATATTCCTTTGAATATTGTTGCATGTGCTACTGAGGGAGCACCACCAATGGTAGGTCGCTATCGTGGATTTGTTGCTTATTTTTGTCTAATTTTTGTCTAATTTTTGTCTCTGGACAGTGGCAGAGTGATCTGGAAATGGGGGAGATAATTATAGAGCCTTTGTCATGGTCAGATCACGCACTCCTTAGGATGGACTTCCGGACCGCTGCCCCTCGCCGCAGGGAGACGGAACCGCCTAGATGGTTCCGTCCCAGGCGCCTGATGGACCCGGAGGGGTTTCTGACGGAGCTTGGG